ATATATATATTATTTCATTTCCATTTAGTTTGTTGAAGTATTAAAATAACTCCAATTAAATAAAACTAAAAACTTAAATACCTATACAGACAGAATAAATTCAGACATAATGTAACTAAAATTAAAATAAGTAACAAATACAAATAATACAAATCAAATGACAGTAGTTTATCAGTAATCCTAAAAAATCAGTGATCTGCGAGCAGCTAGAAGCCTCCTCTGAGCTGTTGATCCAATCAAGGTTAAAACGCGATGAAAGCGGTAAGAATAACGTGAAACATTGCTGATGTTCGCGCAGTAGTGCGGGCTCTTTAAATTTTGGCGCTGTTGTGAAGACGCATGTCACGTGACAACATCAACATGGCGGATGTAGTACGTCCGAATTCCATTCATACTACTCGCATTCATACTATATAGAACGTACTTTTTTAACAGTCGAGTAATACGTTCAAATTCAAATGTAGTACCTACTAAGCAGTATGAGATTTCGGACGCACCCAAGGAGAATAAATACATACTAGCAAACGAGGAGGGTAACGAGGGAACACATGTGGGGCAAATTAACCAATAATCAGGTAAGAAGATAACAGGACATGAAAGCACGCAGTCGATAACATGAGCTGCGTGCAACAACAACACAAGACAACAAGAAAAGCACGCGGCCCAACACAAACCGCGTGCTATACAAAACACAACACACGTGGACAGAAGAGCGCACGGCCGAGCGGACTCGAGACCGCACGCTCCCACAAGCAGACAGAACATGGAGCGCGAGTGTCCGGACCCCGACACGAAACCGAAACTCAACAAGACATGAGTGCCGGGATCTGAACACCACGCTCCAACATGAAACCGTACCCGCAGACGAGAGCGCACGGCTTGAGCACTCTCGAGGCCACACACTCACATGAAAACAATGACATGGCGGGAGTGTCAGGGCTCTGTCACAAAACCATGAATAACACTAGACCGAAGTGACAGAACCCTGACACAGGCTGCGACTGTGCCAGACGTTACTTCATGCAGACAACATACGTTAGGCTACACAATCACATAACTGAATGCCAGAATGTTAAGTATATTGTCATTTGCTTAGCCAGTATTATAAATTAAACTCTTAGCATACCTGCTGTCTGTCAGTCTGTGTTAAAGAACAAAATAAAAAATCACTCTGCTCAAATCTGCTCTTGACTAAATAACTTTTTCATATTTAATATGGATTCATATATAAATATAATCTATATCTATGACTTTATACATCATAGTATTTTGTTCCTGAATAGTAGCAGCTACTGTTAGTTTTAGGCTAGCCAACCTGAAAATGTTAAAGCACAGTTTGTTTCATTTGTATGCTTGTGCTATTGCTAGTAACTTGTTCATTTATACTGACCGTTTAACTGTCTTTATGTAACATTATTTATTAAAATGCAAGGTTACTTGAGTCAGAAACAATGAAAACAATAACTTTTTCTTGAGGTGTTTGCCATGCGGCTTCGTGTGCTCGGCGCTTTGGATGTGACCGTGAGCGCCCAGAAAACTAGTTTGGAGCGCGCAAGTACCGAATGGTTTAAAAAGACGTGCAGATGATAAACTTTTGTGATGATGCAACACTGACCCGATTAGGCAAGTGACAGTCCTGTCAGCTGAGCGAAAGTCTTGTATCTCAGTGTGCAGCAGCTATTTTAGTGCAGACGAGATGCGCTGATTTGAGGCAATTTTGAGAGAGTGAGAGCAAGAAGACAGGGTACAGCTGAACCACTCACGCTGTTTTCAAATGACTGACTTTTAATGTGATATTCTGTGTGAATTTTTTAATCTCATCTAACCTACATTGTATATTAAATAAATATTTGCGGGAATTTTCCAAACGTGCGAAACCTGCGAAAATGGGTAAAACCAAAATGCGCAATCACGCAC